AAATGGTGTGTTTCTCAGCTATGTTTCAGACAATTAATAATATTAAGTTAATAATGGCCAGAGAAATGAGGTCTCCTAATATGAATTATAAAAATAACCACTGTGATTAAGTAAAAATGCATCCCATCTACGGAACATACATCTTCTCTTTCAGCTATGAAACATGTCACTAGAAATAAAAATGAACCAGCAACTAAAGGAAAAAAGGTAGGATCGATGTTTTGTTTTTCCATATCACAAAAGCAGCAGAGAGGTCACACAGTACTGTTGGAGGGTATCATGCCTTTTGCTGACTCAGAGAAGAAACACATTTGCCATTCAAAGACAAATTAAACAGGGCATGGATCATGCTACGTGGACCGCCAGACTCAGTTATCTGCCAAGACCAGACAACATTCAGTTACCTCCAAATGCATCTAAACGCAGAAAATTCTTTGGCTCTGTGTGGACAGAATGTCTTCGTCAAAATTTTCAGTTGGAACAAATATTGCAAAGCAGACCAGACCCAGATTTGTCCCAGGAGAAACTGACACAAATCCTTCCAGGACAGGGGCAGCCACCTCAGCTACATTGTTGGGATTGCCTGGTGATAGGATTAAAGAAGCTAGAAAGTGGCATTGTGACCTAATATAACTCTCAAATCTACCGCTCTCAGCATCCCAGGACTGGGGACCAGCGGGGGAAAAAAGTCACTCAGAAGTCGCTCATCCCATGCAGCATCACTGTGTTCAAATGCTCAGGCATTCGCCCAGACTCTTCTTCAGTGGGACCAGCCTGCCCAGCTTGTAGCACCGCCTAAAAGAAAAGGCAACTGATATCAGCGGCTCAGAGGAGAGCAGGGTGTCCCCGCTAAGCATGTGCTGGCAAGACACAAGAGGATCCTAAGATGAGAACATCTCTGGACAGGATCTGTGTTGGCGAGGATCCCTGAACACCCGGGAGAGCTATGTCTGGAATACAGAAGCTCCAGCTTCACCTCTGAACAAATGAGATGGCTCTAGGAGAAGCTAATGTCCTTAGGCCAAGAGTCCATGGAAAAACCAAGGGTGTTCCTGTAACAGAGGGACTTTTTTCCCTATGTAAGCACCATGTAAAACCAGAAACAAACTTCTCAGAAAGGACTGGGGAGAAGAGATTTAAGCTAGGGAATTACAGGAAAGTGAAACAGATCTAATGGAACCAGGCCCAGGAATGATGTAGCGCCTGGGACCTCCAGAGAGCAGGGGAAAGGCCTGGGGAGCCTTCATCCCGAGCCTGCCTCATTCATGGAAGCAGGCGGGACTCTCCGTGAGACAAAGATGAGAAGGTTCCAAGACACAGAAAAGCCACCTATTCAGGACATCACATATAGGCAAAAAGTGCGTCAGGCCTTTCAGCTAGACTCAAATATCATTCTCACGGAGAAAGGTCAACAGGCCTAAAATGGTAGAAAATCATTTTCATTCACAGGAGCCCCGCATACGTTGCCGGGGGCTCCGTGTCCCACTCACAGCAGCTTGCCACACTCGTTAGAGAACTTCCTGCTGACAGCCGTGCCCTCTGCCCAAAGGTTGGCTACACCTATCTTCTCTCAGGCATTTCCCATGAGCAAACCACTGTTTCTCTCAATACTATATGTATAGGGCACCATAAATCCCAGGTTCCCCACTTTCAAATATTCTGCCCCACTGCCCTGAATTTGATGGACTCTATGCCTGGGTTTCTGGTTTGAAGCAGAAGGTACCATTACCTAGGAGAAACTCTCTCCAGCAAAATTCCACCTTAAGGTGAGAGCCTTTTTGAAGATGATAAGTGTTCCAACCCAGAGAAGGGCAGAAATTATCTGTGAGCGATGACCAGGATAATAGGCAAGAGGTGAAAGTCCCTGCTTTGCTTTCTCTGTCCTAGAGCTTATCTCACTTGATTTTAAAGCCCTGCCTGCATCACTAACCATGAGCTTCATGGCACCACAAACTTTGCCTACATGTAATCACAGTACCTCCAGAAAGTGGCAAGGGGATGGGCATGCTGATGGTTGACAAGTTTTTAAAGACGGAATGAATAAATTAGTGTAAAAAAAACTGCTTAAGTCCGGAAGCATGAAGAAATGTGAAAATACAAGTTGGGGACCAGCAGTTTTGGCTGGCAAGTGAGAAAATCACTTCCATGAGAAAATGTGACCATCTATACCACAAGTGACATGGGATGAAAAGATCAGTGCTAGGCCTGTGTGTGTGTGTATGTGTGTGTGTGTGTTAGTCACTCAGTATGTCTGATTCTTTGCGACCCTATGGACTATAGCCTGTCAGGTGGAATTTTCTAGGCAAGAATACCAGAGTGGGTTTCCATTTCCTCCTCCAGGAGATCTTCCCTTGATCAAACTCATGTCTCCTGCATTACAGGCAGACGCTGTACCATCTGAACCACCAGGGCAGCCAGTGTTAGGCACACCCCTTGGGAATACATGCATTCTAAAGCACTGTCCTGAGGTTTTAAACTTAGCAACCTAACTGGGAAAACCCACATCAAGGCAGAAACAGCCGGCAACACCTTCTGTCTCCAGGCCACATGAAGGAAGATGGGGAGCACTGAACACATCTAAGAACTTCTCAAAAGTGAAGAAGTACTTGACATCGGTTTCTACTCATGCCTCTGCCACCTTAGAAACTGGTCTCTGCTACTGCACCCCAGAGACTGGTGAGTACCTTTCATTTGTCCCCTTCTCTTTTCAGTAAGTTGCACATTTGCTTAAATCATTTCCTTGCTGCCTCTCTCTAAATTCTCCATCATGGGAAAGTCTGATTGAAATGTCCAGCCTTCTCTATGACCCAGGACTCTGGTAATGAATTAAGAGTTAACTGGAGTGCAAGTGAATGCGAGAGCTTGCCAAAAGATGGTTAGAAAATTTCATGACAATTAGCACTGATTTGCGCTACAAGAATAGAAAAAAAAAAGTTTTAAAGGAGAACAAAAAAAGCTACTCACACATACACAACCCCAAAAAAAGCCTTCTAGCACTGGCTGAAAATGATACCATTGGATGACAGAAGAAACACACCAGATTAGCCAATTAGCATTCACCCAAGAAAAGCAAGCACTTTGAAGAGAGGGGAGAAAAGGGACCCATCAACTGTAATATCAGCTTTACAATAGCCCTGACTGTTTATCTACCCAAAGGAAATGCTACCTCCCCACTTTTTTGTGACCCTCTCGACAATTCTGGGGGAAAAAATGTTAGTTCAACATTATCGCAAGCCAGAATATGACTCTATTTATGTGACAAGTTGACAACATACAATTTCATGCTTGTTGAACTGATCGGTGTTATATATTCACTGTGCATATTATGAAGCCTCACCATTATAAATATGAAACAGTATACACTTATTCAAAGTAACTCCAGCAGCGGCAATTTATAGCTAGGTTGTTTGTGCTCTTATGGAGTCCGTCGCCGCCTTAAGGGGCTGCAGCACGCAGAAACAGATGTGAAGTGTGACTCCAACCAAAATGGATTGACGATGACCTATGTGAAAGCAGGCTATTACATTTTGGTCTGCATGGCAGCTGACACTGGTTTGTATTTAGATATGTGACTGGTGAGAACACTGTGTCCTTAAAGCTCTGTTTAAACACAAGCCAAGACATTTGTCTACTGGACTAATTATTTTACCACCCTGCTATGGCAAGTATCCCTTTTTTTTTCCCCCTTGAAAAAAAAAGAATGTGAATGTGTATGTATGTGCATGTGCATGCACACGCACACACACACACACACACACACAGAGGCACACGGTTCCACTATGCTGTGTAAAGTTACAGTCAGTACTTTAAACTTTGGTTGTGTCAAGTGAGTGCTGGCAAGATTTCCAGAACGCCTACATCACAGGGGTTGTACCACAGTCGTGATCAGGTGCCTGGGAACAGCACAAGGCCACAAACCATCAAATCATAAGCTGTCACAGCCACTGTTTTTGGTTGAATTGTTTCCTCCTTTCTCTCCCCCTCTTTCTTTCTCTTAGCAAGCTTCAACCAATTTGCAAGTGTTCGCTTCCACAAGGACAAATTTGGAAGAGTGAAGAACAACACAATTTATCCAAATGTGGAAGGAAATGAGGGAACCAGGCGCCTTGCTAAAGCTAGATATCACAAATTTGCATAAGTAGTTTCCCAACGACAGAGGTGCTATTCGGAACAAAATAAATTGCTTGTATTGTATGCAAGGGCACAAACCTTGACCAAGTTTGCAGTTGCTTCCCTGCTCCTACATTTCTTTAAGTACACCCAGATATTCCTGCCAAGAAGCTCAACTCTCTGTAGGTAGTGGCTCTCTGTAGGTAGATCTAAGACATTAATAGTCTATTTATTATTTCATTTAATTATTTGTTTTTAAGTAGACCTAAAAAGGTTATTGTTTGCCTAAAAGTCTTCAACATCTGTATTTGACTCTTAAGAAAAATGAACTAAAAATATTTGATGTATGAATCATGTCGCTCCAGGATTTTCTAGCAATTATTTTTCCCCCTTTCTGTTTGTCTGCTTAAGAGTAACACCCTTAGTTTTCATTTTGAGATCGAGAAATGGAGTCACTGACCAGAATCGTGGATTTCTTTCTAAAGATTTTAATTCTAGGGTTTGGGAACTTGTCCATTCTAACAAAGTTTGCTATTCAAAATCTACATCTCCTTCTACTTTTCCTGTTGGACTGAAGTGAAGGTGTTGTCGGTCTGTCTAGTAAATCCAACCCACAAGATAACATAATCACATACATTCATTTCTCAGAGACCTTGGCGGTTCTTATCTCCTCACTTTTATGATCTCTTATGAACAGCTAGGAAGAGCAATTTGCAGCCTGTTTGTAAAGTCATCTTAGTCTGAACCTAGCCTTCTCCTCTTTTATCACATGGCGATATTCTGCAGCTAAATCCCATTTGCCACAGTAAAATTTGCTCTGAGCTCCATTTTAGAATAATGTGAGTATTCTCTGTGTGTATGGAACATATCAAACATGCAATGGAGGGTGATTATCATTTCAATGAACTATTTATTAATAGAAGATAGTGTGTGTGCTATGGTTAGATTTATTGATATGCTGCCCACCGTACATTGTAGCCTGAAGTTATTTAGTTCCTGGTCATTAGCGTCTCAGACAAGCAGCTTTGTGGCTCTCACAGTCCCAGTTCTTTGTGCTTTGCTCAACTTTATTTTACCACCAGATCACCTAGAACATTAAACATAAGGCTTGAGTTCTATGTTAAATCAGAATTGTTTCCTATTAAGTGTTCCAAGCTCCCCATTTTTATTACCAGTTACTTTATTAAATCCTTAATAACATAGATAGAATAGTTAGTTAATTTGTGTGTTGAGCCATGGATGTTAATTTGTAAACATAATAACATACCGCAATCATTTGCATAATAGCATTTTAATCTTTTTAGTAAAAGCTGTAATTCCCTACAAAGTACACTGCAGTAGAAACTAAGTGACTATTGGTAATAATACAAAAGGCCTTAAAATTCTGATCCTATTATAGTGTTGGAACATACCCAAACTGCTTCCATAATCTCTGAAATGTTACTGTTCTCTGATTTAGGTGTCTGTGTCAAGAATAAAAATGAAGTATAACTGGGAGCAATAGACTATTTCCTAAATGTAATTTAGTATTCACTAAGCACCAGCACTTTGCAAATAGCTCTGAGGCTTTCCTTCAAAGTTCAGAGCTCCAGCCCTGCATATTGTGCGAGAAACACCAAGGAACTCACTCTAACACTCTAAACTCTGTGCCGTAGTCAAGGCGCCGATAAATCAGGCTGATGTAACACAGAGCATGGCATCAGCCATCAAGAATCTGGCTACTAAGTCTCCCTTCTCCCAACCTGACCAGCCTGCTTTTACCTCCTTGAACTAACTGCTTCTGAGCAGAAGTTTGGGAGAGAATGAAGAATTGGGGGAAACAGTTAACAAAGCTACTTCTTAAAAAAAAAAACTCTTTTGGGGGCTTGATCTCTAGAGCCCATTAACACCAATCATAAGACTGGCCCCCAAAAAGGTAAAAAACAAACAAACAAAATAAAAACCTAGTTGAAAAGTCAGGCCAAGTCATTTTACGCAAGATCTGGTAATTCATTAATCTTTCTGGCTGCAAACCTTGAATGAATAACTTGCACTAGTAATGGGGATGAGCAGGTCTACACAGCATCAGTGTTTAGAATTGGAAACTATGTGAATTATTCTATTATTCTGGAACAGAACAGGTACAAAAGTATCTCCTATCATTATTTTGGGACAAATGGCATAATGGATGAGAAGTCATTTATCATAGTAAAAAGTTGCTGTTGCTCAGAGTAAGAGTGTATATTTCCTTGTGTCGCTCTCTCCCCTTTTCCTTGCTGTCATTCTACCTGCTTGTAATTCTGCATCTTTGGCAGGCTACAGTAAAACACAGTACCCTGCTTTGCTTTCAAAGTATACCTCAAGAGCACACAATCTTGAAAGTAACCTGAGAAGTTAAAGAAGAAGAAAAAAAAATGATCCTTACAAAATTGTTTTACATCATAGGCAATTCCCTTTATAAAACCCACAATAAAAGTTCATTTCTAAAAGACTAGGCACATAATTATCGGACAGATGAACCTTGTTAAAAATGTGAAGTCAGGGTGGAGAACACTGGAAGAAAATTTGGCTGCTGGTCTTTAATGTTCATCTTTTTATCTGCTTTGTGTGTTGATCTCATTCAGAGGTGAGCCATCTGCTGGGCTGTGGTTCCACCACATTGCGTATAGATAGGGGGACGAGGACAAATAGACACTCTGTATAAGCATACTGTGCAAGCACACACGCTTGCTATACAAATAGTTTGTCCACTGCAGTATCCTGCATCTTAATTACTTTAACCTCGACTAATATCTCTGAAGTAAATCTAAGAGGCAATGAGCCACTTTTTCTTGAATCCTCTCCAAGTTTTCCTCCTTGTGAACATGGGTCTCCACTTTTCCCGCTCCAAAGATATCCAGGAAGAATAAAGCTCAGTTCATGACCCACTGGAGGGCTCAGGAGGTAGGAAAAGCCCAGGATATGCCCATACAATGGCTCACCTACTTCCTGGACTACCCAGAGTATTGAACTAATTGGTCTCTACCTCAAAAAGCACAAACTAGTACCTTCTGGGCTTCCCCAGAGGCTCAGCAGTAAAGAGCCCTCCTGCCAATGCAGGAGTCATGGGCTTGATCCTTGGGTCAGGGAGATCCCCTGGAGAAGGAAATGGTAACCCACTCCAGTATTATTGCTTGTGAAATCCCATGGACAGAGGAGACTGGTGGGCTAGAGTCCAAGGGGTCACAAAGAGTTGGACACAGCCTAAAGAATAAACAACAGCAACCATTTTCTATCATCATTGTGACTGATAACACATATGGATTCTCACTTTCCAAATTGCAAACAGCTGAGAGTCCCTTGGACTGCAAGGAGATCCAAACAGTCCATCCTAAAGGAGATCAGTCCTGAGTGTTCATTGGAAGGACTGATGCTGAAGCTGAAACTCCAGTACTTTGGCCACCTCATGTGAAGAGTTGACTCATTGGAAAAGACCCTGATGCTGGGAGGGATTGGGGGCAGGAGGAGAAGGGGACAACAGAGGATGAGATGGCTGGATGGCATCACCGACTCGATGGGCATGAGTTTGAGTCAACTCCGGGAGCTGGTGATGGACAGGGAGGCCTGGCGTGCTATGATTCATGGGGTCGCAAAGAGTCAGACACGACTGAGCGACTGAACTGAGCTGAACTGAAGAACTAAATTGACTTCTGTGAAAAACAGCGGCAGACCTCATCTTTTGTGATCAAAACTTACACTAACCAAAGTGGTAAGGAACCCACCTGTCAATGCAGGAAACATAGGTTCAATCCCTGGGCTGGGAAGATCCCCTGGAAGAGGGCATGGCAGCCCACTCCATTATTCTTGCCTGGAGAATCCCATGGACAGATAAGCCTAGTGGGCTACAGTCCATGGGGTTGCAAAGAGTCAGACATGACTGAAGCAACTTAGTACATGTGCACACTAACAAAAGCAACCACCAGGAAAGTTAGTGATGATGGTCACGGATGTCATGTAACCGGCATCCTGTGACTTATTTATTAGTACGGGTAGATGGCAATAGACATACTCCCGTGGATCAGAGCTCCTGAGCCATAATTTCCCAGTGGTCAGCATAATGGCAGCGAGGAAACAGGGTGATAAACCAGATGTTCCCAAGATAAGGCAGATGTTATCCAGGCAAGAAGTCTAAAACGGTCTTTAACTGAGGTGTGTAGAGGAACACACACAGGAAACCTATTCAGTCTCCCTGTCAGATAAGCCGACAGTAGAAGTTGAAAATAAAGCCGTACACAGGCTGGGTCAGATTGTTGCTTCCTGATTTGTGACTCTCCAAGATGAACATCTAACTGATTTATACCCAGAATTTGGAATTTTGTGGTAGACTACAAATGCAAAGATAAGTACAACATAAATTTTTAAAATACTCCATAAGTCTCCATGAGTTTCAACATTCTTCAATGTTCTTATGTTACAGCCAATTATCTCCCCACTTAAAGGGCTATTATTTTCTTACTTGAAGTCTATGTTCTCCATAAGTGTCATTACCAAGTGCAGCAAAAATCTGGTTGTGGGCCATAAATTGAATTTAAATGACAAACATTTATTGATGGCAAATTGGAAATTCCAGAAATCTTCAAGAAGTGATTATTGTAAATGAATTAGTTCTCTCGACATAACAAAGGAGAATTTATTCTCGTGATGATTAAATTAAGGGGAGGTGGTTTGGACACACATTTTTTCCCTCTGTTTGTTTTGTTAAAATTCTAAGAGGTTTGCCATTCATAGAAAAGTCTGCCTGACCATGGGCACAGTCAGAAGCAGGAATTCATTACCATGGAAGGCTACAGAATTTACTCCAAGGAGACAAGTGAGAAAAAGCAGACACCATGTAAATGTGTGGATTGGGTTAAATATGTTCTGCCCCGGAGGCAGCAAGGAGATGGGAGCCCCTGTGTAAAATGACTCACAGTCCGAGAAAATACTTCAGTTCCTAAAGGTGAGCAGACACTGAACCAGATAGATACTCATGAACTTTTGATTCTCTTCGGAATATTTTCCAGTTGGCATGCTTTGCCAGCTCCCTCTCTAACCTAACTCACATTTGTCAGTGCTGATGGAATTTTCCTTCGAGGTGCTTCACGTTTTGTTCCCTGGACACCATCCCCTCTGGTGTCACCTTGTCCCTCCTCCGAACCTGCATCGCACGGGGTTTGGAATGCAGCAGATCCTGCTGCCAGACTCCTTCACTTTTGGCTTGTCCATAGCTCTCACAGTGATCAGAATGATCGTTTTTAAATACCGTCTCCATCACATTGCTCTCCTGCTAAAAATCTCCAGTAGCACCCTAATTGTTATCGTGAAAACTCTAAACATTTGCAACTAGGTTCTCATGACCTGGCATAATTTTGTACCCACCCTAAATCCAGACTTACTGCTCTTATTCCTGTGTTCCCATTGATACATAATTCACTGAGTAAACCAAGCTCTTCACTTTCATAACCTGTCCAGGAAAACCCATCACTCTTATTCTCTCATCAGCCTCGGTGATATTATTCTTGCTGATTCCCTCAGTATATGCTAGAATACACACAAACACACACATGCACACAAGTACATATGCAAACACACAGTCTTGCAATATTTGCCAAAAGCTAATATATATGTAATATATAACCCCATGCAAGTAAATGTACATGTGCACATATACATTAATATACACAGACTTACATTGTCCTCCAATTGCTGATATATATGAACATATACATGTATATGTATATTTGCATGCACAGTCCTTTTCATTCTTTTCTAATCACTTCTCATTTCACCATTTATCCTCCCAAACTAGATTTAAAGCCTTTTAGGAAATAGATCTTTGGTGCTTTATATGTAGTTTTCACATATCCAAGGCAGTTCATACCATCAATAAGTATATGATAGTCAACCCATTCATAACGTTGCAATTATTTACTGAGTACATACTTTCTCCTGTTTTCTAAGAAATCACCTAGAAAAACTTCAGTGAACAAGACAAGCTCATTTTCTGTTCCCAAAATACTCAGTGTTTTGAATAGCCAAGATTTTTTTTAACTTTTCATAGGTATATATTATATGCGCATTGTTGAAAAAATTAGAATATGACAAAGTTAAAGGAAAAAGTGTAAATTCATCTATATTTCCACCAGAATGATCGAATATTCTTGAAAGCTTTCATCCACCATTCCCTTGAGAGCATAAATCAGTACACCTTACAGACAAGAAAACTGGAAACCATCTTTTTTTCTTTTACAAAAGTTCACAGTATCAGACCTTCCTGCGAGTTCCAGCAATTACCCAACGTGAATGCAGGCTACAATTGAGAGCCCCCCTCTCCACATTAGCAAAAGCAGGCTTCAGAACATATTATGAGTAATGACCTAGAGACAGTTACATTCTCACTCTCCATGTTTTAAAGACGCCCAAGTAGCTGCATTCAGAAGTAACAAGTCAATGAATGAAAGATGCCCATTCAGTGGAATCATAGAGGCATTAAAGCAGAGGTTAAAATAAAGCAGTGATGGAACTTCCCTGGAGGTCTAGTGGTTAAGGCTCTGCCTTCTAATGCAGGGGGTATGGGTTTGATCCCTAGACACGGAACTGGGATCCTACCTGCCACAGGGTGTGGCCAAAAATTATGAATAAATAAACATAACATCATAAATCAACTATACTTTGACTAAAAAAAAAAAAAAAATTAAAGCAGAGACAAGGTGGCCCTCAATGTCCCAGAAGAGCCAATGTGTTATTTAACCTAAGCTATGTGACCCATCGTTACACACTGCCATGCTATAAAAGTACTCCTTTATTCTCCTTCTTCAAACAATGCACAAAGCAACAGAGAGAAGGAAGTGGTGTTGCAATATTCTGAAACATAAATCTTGCTACCAGTCGATCCAGGGACAGCATCCTGTTTTCCTGACACATGGATCAGATTCACTTGGGCACTGCACCTATAGGCCTTGTGCCCTGTTTCGCTGGGCTTCTGAGTCATACCTGGTCACCTGCATTTACACATCCAAACACAGGTTGTGCAAGCAGAGATCGCTGTTTGTGTGCCCAGTTACTCAACCAGCATGCACAATTGCGTGTCTGCTCACCCTGCTCCTGTTCAGAATCTCAGTGTTTCCCAAATCAGGACATTCAATTTCATTCTTTCATTTTCTTCTTCTTACGTTACATAAAAATTAACCTTAGACTCAAATGTATGGGAGAGGTCAAAGGAAGAAATTTCTATTTATTCCCAACATTTAAATATTCTGCAGTACTAAATGTAACTCTTAAATACCCTCTTTCTTCCTGCTTTGATGAGAATTCAGAAACGCTGTGGCCAGTTTCCAGCAGTGTCATCAATGTGCTATTTGAGTCAGGGAAAAGTGTTAAACGACTCACTGCTTTATTTTATTCTGGGAATCCGAGGTAGATAATGCTTGTTATTGGCAGATCAGAGGTGGCAGAGACCATGACTGTTGGGCTTGCTCAAGTACAAGGCCTTCACAAATGTGATGAGGCAGGATTTTGAGAACAGGAGGAGCGTGAGAGAGCACAGGTGAAAGTCCGTCCGCTGTGACAGGTTTAAAGTCACAGGCGCTGGGAAATACCTGGGGTGACGCAGCGTTGGGAGAAGCAACGTGCAAAGCTGTAGCCATTCAAGGGTTATTCTGTTGCCTACAGAGCTTGTTCACAGGGGACATCACAGTTTTAGAATTCCACCTATGCTCAAAACACACTTTTCTTTTTCCATTATACAAAAGATGTCTGAGTTTAACACTAGAGGGTAAAGAGTGGAGGCATCTTTTCTTTATACAAATGCTGAGAAAGCTGCTGCTGGGTGTAACGGTGCTGCCACACATGGCCTTATTACCCTTTAATCCACAAAGAATGGGTTTTGTGACATCAGAGAAAATGTTATGGGGACTTGTATATACAGTCACTTTTTGGCTGTCTGCCACTAAGAGAAAGTCTGACATATCAGTCCTGAGGCCCTGGGCATCTCAATAATTGTATATGGCTTCTAAGTCTTTGTATCCTGTATATTTTCTCTCTTGGAAATTTGACCGATTCATCTTTAGAGTTTTCTAAAAATTGCGAGTAACTTTAAAAAAAAAAAAATAGGGTTTCTCCACCTAAGCACTGTGGTCACTTGGGGTCAAATGATTCTTTGTTGTAGGGAGTCATCCTGTGCCTTGTGGGATGTTAAACAACATCTCTGGTCTCTACCTGCTAATTGCCAGCAGGATCCCCCTGCCCCCAGTACTGACAATTAAACATCCCTCCAGATAATACTAAATGTCCCCAGGCAGACAAAATTGCCTTTGGTTGAGAACCACTGGTTTAAAATGACCTAATGACAAGTTAAATGAATAAACCTTGTGTTTAGAGTGTTGAAAATAATTCTGCTAGTGGTAAACAGTTACACAGGAAAACGAAAGGGGTGTCTTCATGTAGATTAAGCATCCATAGACATCCAACTAGTTCCAAACCAAGTCCTCTGAAAGTGTTAATGAGAAGTACCTCATCCAGGTGTCACGACACGAAATTCAGGGACACAGGTCACAGAAAAGGTTGTATTTGCAACCAGCCTACCAGGTAGGCACCAACTACCATGCCACCAACCCCTCACACACACACACACACACACACACACACACACACACACACCTTTTTACTTATTCCCTAACCATCCTCTGCAAAATGCATGGCATTCACCCAATATGAAATAGCCGATTTTTAGATAAGAGGTCTATGGAGATGAACATTTTTAAAAGTACTGTTTATTTAATGCAGCATGACTTAAAATGGGCCTGTAACCTGACAAGTGTACTGAATGAGGAATGTTCAATTTACCAGTTCAAACCAGCCAAGTCCTCACATGAACTTTCCGAGACCCGGCTGAGAAGCCTGGGAAAGTATAACTAACCACAAACCCTCAGTGCTTCCTCCACCTGATTCCTCCTCCCCAGCCTTAACTCCATTACCTTAAGCACTCTTCTAAGACCCACTTAATGCTCCAGACGTATTATAAAATCTTAGCCGCTGACAGAATCTACAGCCACCTCAGCGTACCAGCTATATACCTGCTTCCATGTCAACCAACACTGAAAGCAAAGATTCTGTTCTATTTTTAAATATATTGAGCAAAGAAGCAGCTTGATATGTCTTTGTAAAGGATGGCTGTCACCCAAATTCAGTTATTCTATTTTTAATCAATGATAATAGACTTTGAAGTCAGATACACCTGGGGTTCAAATCCCACGTCTGTGTCAATGGTGTGATTTGGGGAAAATCACTTAGCCTCTCTTAAACTCACTGTCAGCATATGTAAGATGAGAATGACAAGAATAGTACCTAAACAATAATAGGTTGTTTTGAGGGATGAGCATGATGACATATGTAAAGCAAAAGTGTTCCAAGATGTTGGCCACTTTGTTATTACTATTACTATGCTGAATCGACCATATTCATCCTTCACTCACTACTCATGAAACACTTATTCAACACCTTCTGTGTGCTGGAAAAACTCAGTAAATATTGTAAAATGGGTTTTCTTAATGACTCAATAAACATTTATTCAGTGCCTTTTATGTGCTGGGTGCTGGAAAAACTCAATAAATATTGTAAAATTGGTTTTCTTAATGACTCGAGATTTCAACCAAACAACATTGAAGTATAAGAAGTGTCTCTGCTGGTAGATAAAAAATACTTTTATAGTGCTTTGTATGAATCCTGGCACATGGTAGGTAGAAAATGTTACATGAGAATGGTGGTGCTAGAGGTGGCGACACTGAAAACTAGTTGATTCAACAATCCTAACTCGTTTTACTTACTAGAGTAACCACTTCGTTTGTTCCCATAAGAAATCATTCATTTTCAAGTAAATGAGTACTGATCTTGTGAGAAAGAACTTTTCTCAAAGTAACACTTTAATAGGTGCAGATTAACATTCTTTATTATAGGGTAGGCTTATAATAAAGAGTCTAGAGTCTGGGAGGTAATTTTCACTACTGAAAGGTAAATTAATTTTGACTAAATTATAAGTAAATACCAGAGTAGTTGGGTGTAGAAGTTCCCATAATATAAAGAAATCAGAGGTATCATCAAAATATAATATTAATAGTAAAAAATAAAAACAACTGCCTACTATTTTACAAACCTACTTTGTAAAATAAGTAAAGGTAGACCTAACCCTTTGGTTAAAAGGAAATGCATTCTTTTACATTTTACATTAGGTACCATTTTCTGTGGGAAATAGGAAAAAACAGGTTTCATCATTTAGTCTTCTTGTCATTCATTCTTTCACAATCTCTTAGTATTTCAACAGCATTGGATACACTCTGTTATGGGTCCTCAGGGCCTTAATTCTCAAAAAAAAAGGTCATTTGTTTTCCAAATATTGTTTTTCCACAAAATAGGAAGTATCTAACTATGATTAAAAAGTCTTTTGGTGGCAGCTAAGTAAGAACCCATTATGCTTTCAGGCCAATAATCACGTTAAGATGGCCTAAACCAAGTTCAATGAGAAATTAATTTTCCTGAAGGGCTGTCCTTACCTCAAATATGTTTGAAGGCTCGTTGTTGTACTGATTAGATATTATTTCTGATTGGTCACTGCACCACTTGAGTCCACCCAGAAAGCTGTCTGTATCCAAGTCGTTCACGTCTAGTTCAGAAAGGTCAAGTTCAGGAAGATCTGGGCAAAGAGGCTGGTCTTCACCAACCAGAGCAGCACACTGCAGGAGGCAGGGAGAAGAAAAAAAAAAAAAAAACTTTCATTAACTGCAGGAATTTATTAAACTGTAATAGCATGTGATAGGAATTAAGCCTGGTTAATTCAACGACACCATCAAAGCTGGTTTCCAGGGGTTTAGTCCCCAGAAAAAAACATCCTAGACTCTTTAACTCCCTTTGCTCCCAACAGATACTTTGCCAGAACCATTCCATCCTGAACTCTACCTCCGAATCCATGGTAAATGCCATGCTTCCATGAAGTCGTCTGATTTGTCCAGTTAGAAATAAATTTAGATTTGTTTGTACCTCTTTGATACCACTTAACCAAGTTTCAAATTGCTTTCTGATTAACTTGAAGCAAAATTTCACTCCATTCTTTTTTTTAAAAAAAGAGAATAAGCTCTTTAAAAACAAAATTATATCTTTATTTGGCTCTGCAGGTCTTAGTTGCAGCATGCGGGATCTTTTACTTGTGTTATGCAAACTCTTACTTTTGGCATGTGGGATCTAGTTCCCTGACCAGAAGTTGAGCCTGGGCCCCCTCCTGCATGGGGAGCATGGAGTTTTATCCACTGTAGTCCCAGAGCATAAGCACTTTGAGTGAGTGAAAGTTGCTCAGTCCTGTCTGACTCTTTGCAACCTGATGGACTTTATCCCACCAGGCTTCTCTATCCATGGGATTCTCTAGGCAAGAATACTAGAGTGGATTGCCATTCTCTTCACCAGGGGATCTTCCCAACACAGGGATTGAACCCAGGTCTCCTGTATTACAGGACGATTCTTTACCATGTAAGCCATCAGGGAAGCTCTTTGAGGGAAAATTATAAATTTGATTTCACCTTGGAATTGCCATCACACATAAGAGAGACAAAATAAATGATTACTAAATGAGAAAAAAATAAGAACTATACCAGGAAAACTCTCCACTTACGCTCCCTTTAACTATTATAATCCATATAATTCATTTAGCAACTAATGATGCAGAGTCCTTTAACGTATCCATGGTTCTCTTGAATTGTTATTTAAATCCTTTATTCTTACTTGACTTTTCATGAGCTTCTGAACTTCATCTTAAACAGGTCAAAAACAAGTCCCTTGAGATGAAGGACAGAAATCACATTTCTTATTATCATTGTATCTTTCACTATGTGTAACTAGCAAGTCGCGTGTGCTCATGTGTGGGTCTGTGGATGGATGTATACAATTGGGATCACCTGACGTGTGAAGAGAAAAATCACTCTACCACACAACAATCATATTTTTCTTCATTATTTATATTTTCCTCAACTATGCTCTAAGTGAATTCAAAGGAACAATTTTTTCTTTCGCATTTTAAAAAATGATTTCAATATATTGAGAGGCTTAAAATACCCTCTACTGTGACTGGGCTGCTTGTCACCTTGCATACAGTAAGTGGTCTGTTAACTGTCCCCTACGGTGGCTTTTCGAGAAAGCGGACCCCCTTCCCAAAGAGGCGGATTTCTACTTTGAATTGGCCATCTGACCACTAACAGCACTGCAGTCTGTGAAGAGCCCTGCAGAAACTGCTTATTGCAGGGGTCTGGTGATAGAGTTATAATGACTAACCCACCTGCAAGCCGAGGGGTCTCAGGCGGCAGGCACACCCTCCCAGGTGTCAACCTCACGGCGCTCCCTTCCAAGGTCAGGAGAGATGCTGGGGAGTTGTTCCTATCCAGGCAGCAGTTGGGCATGAAGCTGAAGATGCTGCTTGACATTTAGATTTTGAATAAAATAAGTTCTATGCAGATTTTTTTCTCAAGCACCCCTGTCATCCCTGGCAGGCTACATTACACGGGTCATATGCAGCAGTGTGATCGTAAGCACCACGCTGAGAAGTAGGTACTGGGTAATGGACTCAGCAGTTGGTAAGGGGAGGCTGGGAGGAGCCTGAACATTCCTGCAGTTCCCCCCTAAGACCACCAGGCCCCAGAGAGATCCTGAAAGGCAGGCGCAAAGGTAATGTCAAGAAAGAGCAATCACCTCCATTGCAACTCTTTCCTTATCATTTTATTGGTCTTTCCTTTTTTATTATTGGAGTTATCCC